AGAAGTAAAAAGTTGTTAAAAAAAATTACTCCAATAAAGTATAGATAGACAAAATGTCTGCATAAGTAAGGAAACAAGTTTTTCTACTTTGTGACTTGACACCTCTGCGTTCATATGATTTGAACCTGTTCTTCTTGTGAAATTGATATTTTTGTTGTGAATGAGTGCTGAAAGAAATAATCGAAATTCTTTTCTTTGCTAAATCCTAATGTTTAGGTTTTTACGCTTTGATTTTGTTTTTTTCATCTATTTAGGTGAAGAAGCTCCTGGAGGACCTTTCTGAACTCATGTCAGAAAAGGAAGCCTTGGCTCAACGCTGTCAAGAGCTGGATTTACAGGTGAACATGGAGCTCATGCACAACATGCACATGTTTATATCTCTACTGTATGGAGATCAGGTTTTTCATAAAGTGTTTAGTTTTTTGTTTTTGTCAGAATGTCTCATTAGTTAGCAGATTGTAGCTCTCGTTGTATTCAGACATGGAAGCCTTTGGCACAGTGTAACCCAAAGTTTTGAAATTCTCTGAAATGCTTGGCTCCATTGTCTGGAGCCGCTGTGGCAGAACGGCTGTGGAGCCACAGTCTGGGCTCTGCTGGCTTCACATGGCATCCAGCCCGTATCTGCCACTGTTAGAAGTGCTGAATTTAGCATCGGGACTGATCAACTGTCTACCTGGACTCTCAGCAGATTGATTTGATCATTTTGCTGCCTTGCTCGGGTCTATGGGCAGAGAGGTAAGTTAAACACAGCTTATCGCCGGGGGTGAGGGAGGAACTAAACCCAGCTAAACCCATCAGAACCAGCTGCTCAAATGTTTGCTCTAACTCTGCTAACACAGGGTTCAAACAGGGTAATGATAAGTTATCTACTGCAAGTTTAGTCATTTTGGCAGTATTCTAAACATTCATCCTTGAATGTGTGCTATGATATCCATTTGGCCCTCTTGATTAAGGAAAAGTCTGACCAAAAAACCTTGAAATAAATAAATCTGGAATAGAACCTAGGCCTTAATGTTACTTCAAACTCAGCTAACGGTTTTATTTAGTGTTTGTACAGTGCTGTAAAGTAAGCATCCCCTCCCCTTAAATATCTGTTTTTTTTGTTGTTCTATATCATAATTTTTTAAGCTTTTCAAAGTCAAATAAAGACATTTATATGACAAAATACTGACTTTGGCATTACAGAGTATTCATCCGTCCATCCGTCCATCCATCCATTTTCTAACACGCTTATCCCAAGTGGGGTCGAAATGTAAGGAGGCGAGGGGTGCTGGTGCCTATCTCCAGCTGTCTACGGGCGAGAGGCCATTACAGGGCAAAGTATTCATTTGTTATGAAATATTTACTGTTTCCTTCCAACTCTGAATAAAGGGAAGGCACATTTATTTGTATAGCAAACTTCAGTAGAAAGACAATTCAAAGTGCTTTGCATGAATTGAAAAGGAAAATAGAACGGAAAATAAAACCAAGAAAAGATAAAAGCAGGTAGTAAAGCAGATAAAACAATTTGACCACAACCTAAATAATGTTTGGGTAAAATCAACAATATATTTCATGAAGGTATAACATTAAAACATAGTTAGAAGATCAAGGAAAATTCATTTGTAGAATATCCAAAAATATTTTAATAACCCCACGGGGAAATTAAATGTTGCAGTACCTCATATGGTTTTGTTTTTGATTGAGTTGTTGTAGGTGTTGATAGCTGTAGGCAGGAAGGGTCTTCTGTAGCTTCGACTGTTGTCCAAAATCTTGTTTATTTTATGAAGAATTCTTCACTGTGAAATCATCTCCAGAGGCTGTAGAGGAGTTCCTAGAACAGAGCTGGCCTTCTTGATTAGCTTGCTGAGCTTTTTTAAGCTCTAATGCTGTAAAACCAGCAGATAATGGTGGAAGAGATCAGACTCTCCACAAGAGACCTATTGAGGATATGTAACTTCTTGATGCAAAGTTGTCACCCCAGTCCAGCCCTTTAAATAGTACAAATGATAAAAAATAAGGATATTTATTTATTGAGGTGGAAAAATATGTATTGACTAACCTGGCTTTAAATAAAAAGATGGGACGAGATCTTAAGTGTGACTCTTAGAGCAGCACCTGCTTCTGTAAATTGAGTTTTAGATGATGTCACCAAGTCCATTGAAGTGACCAGTTGCTGAATGAAGCTGTTAATTGATGGCTGTGATGCTTCAGGGTTATTTCCAGAATTGCATAACCTAAGTATTGTGATAAAATGTTTTAGACCTTTATTTAAAAAAAAAAAATCTTCTTTTTTATTCTCTTATAAGGTTTTTTTCAGACCTGTTGATGTGTATTACCAAAAGTACTGAAATTACTTTTTTGGCATTTACACAGCAGGGAAAGGACATGCTTATCTTATTTCTTTTTTCACTGTGAGGCATTTATGAGCATTAACTGTGAAACAGAGAAGTTTTACCAGTTACATGCAGGGCTACCGTAATTTTCGGACTATTAGCCGCACCTGAATATAAGCCGCAGAAGCTAAATTGCATGATTTGTACATATCCAAGCTAGGGGTGTAAGTCACATCCATCATGGCGATTCAATTCAGTATCGATTTCCTGACCCAACGATTTGATTATTTTCGATACTCAAGAATACACCACGATGCGATTTGATTAATCGGTTAATTTTTTTTTTTTTTTTTTTAACACCTTACAGGCTAAACAAAGTTTCAAGTTTGAAATAAATCAATGAAAGCTGTAATATCTTTATGCATTTTTTTTTAGAAACAACAGCAAATAACAAAAGTAGAAAAGTTGCATCAAAAAATACTGCAAAAATACTGCACATATTCAGTGCAATGCAATACCTCGGCTCCAGACGTCCCCGCCCCCTCCACAGACGCTCCGCTGCTCCTCTCCCAAATTGTAGCTGACCGCAAGCAGNTCTTAAGTGTGACTCTCAGAGCAGCACCTGGTTCTGTAAATTGAGTTTTAGATGATGTCACCAAGTCCATTGAAGTGACCAGTTGCTGAATGAAGCTGTTAATTGATGGCTGTGATGCTTCAGGGTTATTTCCAGAATTGCATAACCTAAGTATTGCGATAAAATGTTTTAGACCTTTATTTAAAAAAAAAAAAAATCTTCTTATTACTAAAAGGTTTTTGTTCTCTTATAAGGTTTTTTCAGACCTGTTGATGTGCATCACTAATAGTACTGAAATCACTTTTTTGGCATTTACATAGCAGGGAAATGCCTCACAATTTCTTTTTTCATTGTGAGGCATTTATGAGCATTAACTGTGAAATCAGAGAAGTTTTACCAGTTACATGCAGGACTACCGTAATTTTCAGACTATTAGCCGCACCTGAATATAAGCCGCAGAAGCTAAATTGCATGATTTGTGCATATACAAGCCGCACCGGACTATAAGCCGGAGGTTTTTTTTAATGATTAACACAAACTGTCTCGCACTCGCAATGTCCGTCTTTCTCGCTGTCGCTCTTTCTCGTACCCCTCGCAGTAAAAGTCTGCTTCCGGATGACCTCCGCATTCCCGCGCGCGCGGCTACCGTTCTTGTGTGTTGAAGCAAATGTGGTGTCAACATGGTGGATGGTAAAATCCATAGATTTAGGTATTACGCTAGTGGCCGTTAGCTGTAAATGTCCATAGATAAGCCGCATTGTTATATAAGCCGCAAGGTCGAAAAATGGGGAAAAAGTTGCGGCTTTTAGTCCGAAAATTACAGTAGTTAAAAAAAACATGAAAATGGGCTCAGAGGAGTTAATTTAGACAACATGCAGATACTGGTATCGGTATCGGTGCAAAACTGATTACAATGGCTTTTAATTTCAGCCTGTGTAGCATGTGGTTACTGCTGAGATTACGTCTGCTATTAAGTCCGTAACACAGATTTTATCCGCACTGTCCAAAGAACACCGTTTGATCAGCCTGATCTGTCATAAAAAGGCTAAATGTCTTCAGCTTTATGCAGCTTCTACCTCACCTCAATGCCACCCTCTAGTGGCAACTCCTACCTTCTATTCTTAAGTTTGAGAGTTGGAGTAAATTCCCCAAATTCTCAGCACTTAGGAGTAAAAAGAGCACTCTAGGAAGTTTGATAAATACATGTCCAGGACATTTGAAGCACTGTGTAACTTGACTGCATACTGAGGAGGTAATTCAGCCATTTCATTCAGGTGTATAAGCAGAGACACATTTAAAAGTTGCAGGGCACCAGACCTGGAGGGTGGAAATTGAGGAACCTTGATCTAAAATATATTTGGGCACAGTGAGAAGCAAAAAAAAAAAAAATGTGCAAGACAAAAAAGAATACTGTTTTACAGCACTGTATAAGCAAGGCTTAAGTTTTACTCAATTTGTCTTTTTTTTATCCTTAAAGGGGAACGCCGTGTTTTTTACATTGGTCCCTTGATTTTACGTTATTACATCATGTTCTACTTACCTGTATGAGTTTTGTGTCATTGTTTTAAAAAAAATATAAATATAAAATATATAACCGCGTATGTCTGGGGGACAGTGATTGGCCTATATGTTATGAATGCTGGCGTACCATAAAGAATAAATTATGAACAGTTTAGTTTGTGCCTTCAAGTCGTTGCCCATCGGAAGACGTTACTTGGATATAACCTAACAAAATATCTTCAGAACGGCTCCAACTGACACAAAACTCATATGGGTGAGTAGAACATGATGTAATATCGTAAAATTAAGGGGCCAATGTAAAAAAACATGGCGTTCCCCTTTAAATTGGTAAATAAACCTTTATTTGATTAAGAGGGAAACTAATATCCATGTATTAACATTTCTTAAGCTGCATTTTCAGCAAGAACCAAGAACTTTGTTTGCTTCAACATGGAACAAAAAAGGTTTTTTTTTTTTTTTTCTCTGTGTTGCCTCTTTTAATTCTGAAAGTGACTTTCCTGCTCTGCATGCTGTTATTGACCAGCAGGAGATTTAACCCTGCAGCTCCTTTCTGCTCACTTTAATTAACCTTAACCCCGGCTTGAAACTCCTGAAGAGAACAGCCTTAACATCTTTATTTCTGGACAGGTGGCCGTTCTTCTAGAGGAAAGAAACAGCCTCTTGGCTGAGAACGATGTCCTAACGGACCGCACCAGCCAGCTAGACACGTTTGATGACCCGAGCACACCATCGGGAAGGAAACACAGTCAGCTGCAGCAGCAACTGGAGAGTCTGCAGGAGGAGAATTTCAGGTTGATTACTGCAGCTTCAGATGAACCTCTGCTCTTTACTTTCAGTGAAAATCAAATGCTCACATGTGTGCTCATCTAGACTGGAGGCTGCCAAGGATGACTACCGGATCCACTGTGAGGAGCTGGAGAAGCAGCTGATTGAGCTTCAGCATCGTAATGATGAGCTTACCAGCCTGGCAGAGGAATCACGGGCTCTGAAAGATGAACTGGATGTTTTGAGGTTTGTGTTTCACAAACTCCTCCTTTTTAAAAAATTCTTATAAAGTTCATTTTATTTACCTCATGGATTTCTAAGCCTCTTATTTTCCAAGACTTTTTTTCATTCTTAAAAGTTGGTTTAGCTGCATAAACTCAACAAACAGAATGTAATTTTGCTTCCAGTGAATGTTCTTGTCAAGGAACACTGCTTGGATTTTTTTAGATTAGAACTACAAAATGTAAGAGTTTTACTATGATTTTATTCTTGATGCACCAAATTTTCAAGGTGAAAATATTTTATTTTTAAATGAAATAAATGTTATATTTTTGCATCAGGAGGCAATTTCCTGCTTGAAAAGCAAAGAAAATAGGTGGTTTGAGAGGGGCATGAAGGAAGCTTGTTAAGGAAGTTTATTTCTATAGCGCCAATTCACAACACCAGTTCACCAGATCATCCAG